GTTTAGACACCATCAGATGATAGTAAACGTTCGTGGTCAAATTGTAAACATCGTAAAAAAAAAAAAATGATTTGATATGAAAGGACTTAGTTTTGATAGTTTTTCACCTGTGGATTTGTCCATTTGTCTTTGCAGCATGTCACGCTAGAGGTGAAATGCCCGCGGGTACAGTGCCCGCCATTGGACTGCGATGAGAAGTTCGCCTTTAGATCCGGTAAGAAGGCATGTTGCAGACAATGTCCGGCGACGACGCCTAGCCCGGCGATCGCGGGCGATACAACGCGTTTGCCGCGGGATCAGGCGGCGCTATCCACCAAACGCACCGCCGAGGAAATACTGGCTTCCGGCGGCTGCAAGTACCCTCTCGGTGGTCCGTACGAGAACGGTATGGAATGGCATCCACGAATTCACTCGCACGGGGAAATTAAGTGCGTCAAGTGCAGATGCAAGGTGAGAATCATTCACAAATTTGCCCGCTTATTTTGATAACATTTGGGCTTGCAGAATTTTCGTCAGGAAGTTTAAAGTAATTGGTAATATTAATATAAAATAATTTATTTTAGTACATATACATAACTAATTTCTTTATTACTTTCCACTGTTCCGCTATTTTTGAAGCATTAACTATCTGCTCTCAGAGTGTATAGTATAGTATAGAAATGTACTTAGCACGGACAGATAGAAGTTATTTGTATAAATAATTGTCTTGTCCTATTTCCAGGCAGTGCTCGTTATGATTTTTATAAATTAGTCTAGCGTAACTGATTATGCATAGGGCTATTAATAATCAGCATCTCGTGTCTCTAGCCGCTCTTCCATCAAGCTACACGCTGCCGACTGATCCTAATCCAATTAAATACTAAATATAACAATTCGTCAAAGCCACGTTTGAAGTGACAAAACAATTTATTCGACACACTTGAAAAATGTAATGAGAGGAAAACATTGATATTAACTTTGACCTTTGCCCAGATCTATATCACAGTCCGATTTCATTCCTGATCTCTGCGTATAATAAAAATCATCGTAGTATAGATTATTTACTTCAAAGTAGATTATTTTCAACTTCGAAATTCCGAAAAGTTATTTCGCTTGTTCGACTTGCCCGTGTCGAATATTTCAAACGTCTCAGGCTTGCGATTCCAAAATCAAGAGATCAGACGTTTGAAATAATCGAGGCCATTACTGTTGGCGCGCAACGCCGCTAAAGTCAATTGGAGATTGTTCGTGGTCGATCTACCATCCGTTTTTTCCTCCTCGCTCGCGCGCGATAAGTGCGGCGAAGATGAGATTGCGTCGGTGCGTGAAAGCCCCGGCCGAACGTTCCCGGATCGTGACGGTTTTGCGGTTGCCAATTGGCCACCATTTGACGCGCGGAATGCGAATCCTTTCAATCGGTGGTTGCGCTCGGTGTGAATTTCGGGAGAGGATCGTGATTACACGATGCCGCAGAACGACAGAACGATTAGAACGACCGTTGCAATTTCTGCGTCGGCGCAATTTTAGCGAATTACATTGCGAATCGGTGTTATGCGAATTTACATTGCACTTGGCGAGCAATCGTAATAAATAAATAATTATGAGTTATAAATTATAAAAACAGGAGGAGAGATCGAATTTCTAGAATTTTTAGAATTAATTTTGTGAATTAATCGTGGATTATTGAACGAGCCTCGCCACGGTCAACGTACAGTGATTCTATTTATGAAACTTATCCAGAAATCAGTCTCAATCGTCGGAATACCGATGCACTTTGTGGTCGCAAGAAAATTGATAACCTGTACGTGTGCAATTTGTGAAGCTGCAAGAAAATAAAATACCACTCGTAATTTGTCCATTACGCGAAACCGAGAGAAATACTAACGCCACACGAAGTTCTAATCAGATGCAACTGAATGATATATAATACTTCTTGGATATATATTATAAGCATACTATGTTGGAAAACTTGTGGGATTAGACGAAAAAGTGTGCAACGACCTTCGCTGTTGGTAATGCAAAAATATCGTACATCGTTGCGCAGAGTTCAATGAGTAATTATGGATTTCTTTTGACATTATATAGATGTAAATGACTCTTGTTAGAGTAGTGTAGTGTCGAGAACTAGTAACGCAAGATCGTCACGGTACTTTACTCGGCAAGTGCGACAATTTCCGGTTTACACGATCGCTCTTACCTTCTCATCAGCTGCATTCCACTCGTACTTGAAGTTACTGGTCTACACGATCGCGAAGACACATCTTCACTGCCTCTTCAGGGTATCCTCGTATCGAGTAGATACGATTTTACCATTTATTTATTTTCAATTCAAAAGTTGGATTTCTGAGGGAAATTATAACAATTAGTATGCATTTAAAATTTAGAAATATTTTCTCAGTATCATCTCTCTGAGTCATTCATAATAGTATTATAATAGTATTTTAAATGGCCTCTGCTCTTTCATAAATGTATGATTAAAAATTAAATAATACTTGGCAGCAATATTAAATTATATTTAGTATAATTCACGAAAAGTGAGATATATTTTTTTTTTTTTTTTTTTTCAAATAATCTGGAAAACCGGTTTCCATAAAATTCAAGTGACTTCCCTTCGAATGAAAATGTATGTACAAGAAATTCAGGGGCGCCTTGATTTTTTTTCGCCATCTCGCGTATCCTTCTTTGGTCTCGGTGCAACGACACTTGTCCAGACATGTTCTACAAGTTGGAATAAAGGTCGTTCAAGGTTGTAGAAGATTTTAAGATTAACGATATTTACCTTGCTGAAGGTAGCCGATGGTAATGGTCGTTTGCACCTACCTAATGGTCGTTTGCACCTTCCTCAGTCTGAGCTTTGGTCACAAAAAAAAGGTGACTATTTTCATGATTTATTCAGGCAGGCTAATATTAAACTTTCGACATTCCTCGAGAATTTACCGTACGAATTAACAGTCGTTAACTTGAAACGCTCAAGCTACGAATCGACTTCATTAGTATTCTCAGTAATTACCATTGCTTGCTATGAAATAAAAAAATAATCAAGAGAGAGAGATAGAGAGAGATAGACGTTTCACACTACGTAATTAATTAATTACAATTTTGCGTTTTTCAATTTTGAGGAATTGTTTGAGAATTGAAAAGAAGTTGCCGAAAGTCTCTTCGGTTTAAAAGTTTTGATCATCTTTTCCAATGGAACAGCTTCCAATAAGGAGAAAGAAATTCTCACGGGCAAACGTATCTCATTATGTATTCATGCGAAGGCCTGGTCGAAAAAAAACGACTCGTGATATTTGCTTTACTTTCGCTCATACGACCCTCACGGGTGTGTACGGCTCGTTAGAAGTTGTTTGATGGTAGCCCCGTTGTGATATCCAGACACGGTCAGAACTGGAGACCTTTAAGGATAAAACCTTTAACCAGACTCGTTCGTCTGGGCCGACCATTAAAAGGGTCCATCCATTACGATGAAAATGGAACGCGGCTGACACGGGAGAGAAAAGTATCGTGCTTCTCTCTCTCTCTCTCTCTCTCTCTCGTGATCGCGAAATCATCCGCAAGATAATTTCATGTAAGAATTCTATCTATCGTTCTATTCGTCTCGACGTCCACTACGCCATTTCAATTTCCTTTTTCTACGATTAAATGTCAGATTAAGATGAAACTTTACGAGCAGTTAGAACAATTGATTACTACAAAATATCGTATCTTTCTCGGCAAGTTTTAGGTCATTTGCCATACTGCTAACGTAAGATTTGCTCTCCCAAAAAGACAATACATTATTATGTACGTGAACGACTGTCTTGTTGTTACAAAAACGTAACGTGACTAACAGAAAGTTTCATACAGAAAGACCGAGTTTATT